TAGCCGACACAGCGAATCATCGAATTCAAAAATTCAATCTGATTAGCAATGGTTGTGATTGATACCACATCATACTAAACTGATTCTTTTGTAAGAGGTAGAATATCATGAACCCATACCGAATGAAGAAAATAAGATAATGAATATGAAAATATTATTAAGAAACAAGCAGCAGATTCAAGATTAGTTGATGAAGAAGGTATTATTATATAAAAAACGTTAGATGATTGCGTTGCACCATCAAGGGAAAAAATGAGAAATATTCACAAGTATCTTGAATTAATTATGATGGTGATCTAGATTATGTTGAACAAGATTTGAGCGATTAAGTCAAAGAAGATGAGTGAATGGATGACGAAGATTGATTGATTGAATGTCATGGTTCTCAAAAAAAGAAATCGTAGATTTCTCTCATTTTTATTCTCTGTACAGTTTGTTGGTTATGTGAAAGAGTCGACCTATTTCAAATAAAGTTTTCTTCGATTAATTTTGCCAGGAAAAAATAATAGAACTAGGCATTCTTCGAAATTCTTTCGCTCTTTAGATGCCTATTGAAATAAAAGAAAAAGAAAACGACAAGAAACCATCCAAAAACTTCACTGATGAGGAGCTTCGCGTATTAGTCGAAAATGTATCTGATAACGCCCGGGTTTTGCTGGGCAGATTTACTGGGTCTTGCGGCAGTCACGCCCGTAAACAACATGCATAGGCAAAAGTTGCTGAAGCAATTTCGGCAGTGGGAGGTTGCGAACGGACGCCCGAGGAAATTAAAAAAAAATGGGGAAATTACAGATGAACAGTCGCCTACTACCCCACACCTTATTTCTAACTGGCTTTGCCTTTGTTCTTTTTACAGTTCTGATGTTAAAAAAAAAGCAGCGGATTTGAAGCGTCAAGCAAACAAAATAGGGGGTGGACCGGCCAGATCAGGCCCTACTCCTCTCGAAGAGAGAGCAAGTGCTCTTCTCGGTAATGTATGAATGTGTCGTTCATTACATTTCAGCATCTAATTAACAATTATCTACTTTAAAAAAATGTGATTCTTTGGTTACGAATAATTTTTTTGCTAACCAAGAGATGTAGAGATGGCATCTTATAAAAAATAAATTGAATGAGATATTCTTCGTTTTTGTTTTACTTACTATTTCGCTTCTGTTAAAATCGCATAAAGATCTAATATCATTTTTTTTATTCCATTTCGCTTAGGAGAAGTAAGTGTTACTGGAATTAGTGATGGTGTTGATACAGATAGTCAATATAATTTACAAGAAAATGATTTATTTACAACAGCACAGCTAACACAATCGTCTTCGTCATCTAAGTTAACGCAACCATCATCCTCGTCGTCCACAACAACTAGAACGCCGCAACCATCATTCTCATCGTTAACAACAACTAGAACACTGCTTGGATTATCGAGATTATCGAATGAATTGTTGTCAAATAATAGTGGACTTCGACCAAAAAGACCAATATGTGAAATAGATAACGACGAAAACACTGAATCATCATTTGAACAAGGTGAAGTACTTGAACCGTACGGTAATTTTTAGAAGAATTACAAAAAGATGAACGTTCCTCTGATCGCCCAGTTTCCTTGAAAAAGAAAAAAGAAGACAAAGGTTATATTCCCAGTCTAATGGAAGGTGAAAAGAAAAAATTTCAAATAGAAGAACAAGTGCTAGTGTGCCAATATCAACAAAATGAAGCATTAGGTAAAATTGCAAAATCATTGACAGATATTGCAACTAATTTGTAACAATTAAGGCCCACTCCCCACCCCAAAATCCATTTCTGCTTACGAGCATCCTATCTTAATGAAACTTTCAGAGATGGTGTATCTAGGTATGATGACCTCACAGTAAAAATTTCAGCTCGAATATTAAACCTATCAAGAGCTAGCTCACAATTAAGGTCCAAAAATGGGTCTTCGTCCGTCCCAGATTTCTCTGCCATTTTTAACATTAGAGAGTTCGGGTTGGTTTTAAATCATAGCTAAAGTCTGACACTACAACTTAACAGAGCCCGATTCTTCGATTTCAGAATTGATGTCAGATGAAGAGAAAATGTTTGAGATCCTACACCCCAGTAATTTCATATCGTGACG